AGTTCTAAACTCAAATGTCTACATGGGCCAGCCATCAGAAACAGTCAAGTAAAATCAATAGGGAAGAACTAAGACCACAGTGACTGACAAGTACTCACCAAAATGCATTCAAACTCAAGGTTTTTTTTTGCTTTTTATTTATGTATTTTTAAATGTTTACTTATTGTGAAAGAGAAAGCAAGCACAAGTGGGGGAGGGGCAGAGAAAGAGGGAGAGACAGGATCCCAAGCAAGCTCGGCACTGTTAGAGCAGAGCCCGATGTGGGGTTTAAACCCACGAACTGTGAGATCCTGACCTAAGCTGAAACCAAGAGTCACATGCTTAACCAACTGAGCCACCCAGGCACACCCTCCTTGTTTTGCTTTTTAAACATTGTGCCATGTGTTCAGGCTGAGTTCAGCTCAGAGAGGCACCTATTTTGACCACTGAATTTCAGATATGAAGTTCTTAGGACCTCTATGATATGTATTTGTATGCAAACTTGTTTTATAAAAGATATTAACAAAATGGAATATTTCTGAAAATGAATATTCACACACATCAAAAACATCAGGAAATGTTTCAATGACTTCAAAAAACCAGTCGTATCATTAAAGATACCCTAAGCTGGTTATCTCTCCCTGTCTATAGTCACAATTAAGATAGATTTTTTTATGTCATAAGATATAATCTTTAAGACATTTTAAGATTCCATGACTGGGGCGCCTGGGTGGCTCAGTCGGTTAAGTATCCGACTTCGGCTCAGGTCATGATCTCATGGTTTGTGAGTTCGAGCCCTGCATCAAACTGCATGGACAGCTCAGAGCCTGGAGCCTGCTTCAGATTCTGTGTCTTCCTCTCTCCCTGTCCCTCCCCCACTCACACTCTGTCTCTCAAAAATAAATAAACACTAAAAAAAAAAAAAATTTAAGCAGGATTCCATAATTAATATAACAAACTTCCTTCAAACTGGTAAAACATGTGTACCAATGAAATCAATTATTACCAAAAAAATCTGAAAATCGCTGTATTCATTCATTACTGAAATGTTTTGTCTAAGTATTATTAATAAAAAGTAATAATTTGCATTTTTTTAAGTTTATTTATTTTGGAGAAAGAGTATGAGCAGAGGAAGGGCAGAGAAAAAGAGAGAGACAGAATCCCAAGCAGGCCCCACACTGTCAGTGCAGAGCCTGATGCAGGCTTGAACTCACGAACCATGAGATCATGACCAGAACTGAAATCAAGAGTCAGGCACAACCCACTGAGCCACCCAGGAACCTCTCAATTTGAATTTTTTACATGATACCAAAGTAGTCTTTATTCCACTAAAACACCTGTCAACCATGTTTTTAAATTTTTTTTCAAATAAAATAGCAACCCCACTGTTATTAAGTTCTTTCTAGATGTTCTCCAATAAGTTACCAGGAAAAAAGCGTACACTTAAGTGAACAACATCCAATACCCCCAAGGTCCAAAGTAATCTCTTTCCACGGGATTCCCTAGCACTCATATTACTACTGTTTTATACTATAATCATATTTTGTTATGTTTTATCTTCTATAATATACTTTAAACTATACAATGGTAGAAAGCATGTCTTACATTTTATCCCCATCAAAAAGCATTTTGTACATGTACAGAAGTGTTCATAAAAAAAATCCAAGAGAAACCTACCATTTCTCAAGATAATGATTATCTCATGTTAAACTCTTTCAAATTCTGACATGAACGGAGTTTTTACAAAATTGAAATTATGATTATACTTTTAAAAATTCTCTATAATTCAGAGGAGTTCTCAGAATCAGTAGCTGGTTATGTTAACATTCAAGCAACAGCATTTTGAGACAAGTAAATATTATAATAACTTTACAATCTTTTAAGAAAATAAAACTTTAAAAATGTTACTTAAGCCTACACTTGGTTTTAAACCTTTATTTGAGAGACGAAGATCATGTTTTTGGAAAGCATTATTTACAATCATCAAATCTTACCTGAGGATTCCAACCTGGATCTAATTTCTTAACTACTGCAATGTATTCCTGCATTGCTTGACTGGGGCTTGAATCACCAAGGGCTTTCCATGCTTCCCTACAGTAAAGAATATCCAAAATGACCTATCATTAACTATGGAAATAATGCAAACAGCACGTTCCTTTTTAGTATTAAAAAATTGGCATACACATTTTAAGGATGTGGGATATAGATCTAATAAGCCACAGATGAGTAGGTCTCTTTTTGCATTTACCTTGGTCTATACCAATGCACACCTTATATCCCACCACCTAAGGAGCCTTTTTAAACACTTTTTCCTAATCACCCTCCCCCATGAAATTTTAGTAACACAGATACATTGTATAACAATTGAATTTTGGAAGATCACAAACCACTATAATATCGAAGATTTTATAACTCCCCCAAACCCACCTTTCATCCCTATTGAGAATGTATGATCTACAGACCAATAAAAGTAGTTTCCACCTTTTGAATTAACTGTGCTTATAGCATTTCAGTAACATAGGAACCAATCAGCACAAGAAACAATATTTCCTGGGAAAATACTTCAAACTTCTTATTTAAGCTATGAGAAATACACCTTTCCCTTCTGCTGTTATCTCATCTGTAAGCTGCCAGTAGTGGGTCGTGAGACAGGGACTTCAAAAGTGAGGGGTGGTAAGGACAGAGATAAGAATTCTAATGAGTAAGAAGGTAGGGACTACTTGCAATATAAATACCAAGAGTAATATTTTAAATTTTTTTTTTTCAACGTTTATTTTACTTTTTTGGGACAGAGAGAGACAGAGCATGAACGGGGGAGGGGGGGCAGAGAGAGAGGGAGACACAGAATTGGAAACAGGCTCCAGGCTCCGAGCCATCAGCCCAGAGCCCAACGCGGGGCTCGAACTCACGGACCGCGAGATCGTGACCTGGCTGAAGTTGGACGCTTAACCGACTGCGCCACCCAGGCGCCCCCCAAGAGTAATATTTTAATCCTGTGCCCCCTTCTGGGTCATCCTTTTCTTCTTTTTTCTTCAAGCTGCCAAGATAGGCTCTTTCTTGGTTTTGTCCTCCCCGTTCTGCTTCCAACCAGGAAGTAGATCCACTGATCCAGCACAAAACACAATTCAGTGCCACAGGTTTTTACCACCTTCCTGCTCCCATAATGAATGTAACATCTTGCTGAGGTTTTCCAAATTTATTTTTACTGGCTCTCCTGAGTCAATAAATGAATACATCCTAACACTCTATCTCTAAATACATCAGCATATTTCAAAGTGAGGAAATTTAACATCAATACCGTTATGTAAATATATAGACTACCTTCAGATTTCCCTCATTACCCAATAATGTCCTGTATAGATTTCTTCTCCTAGACCAGGAGCCAATCAAGATTCACACATAGCATTGATTTCATGTATCTTTAGCTTTTTCTGTCTTCCATGATATTGACATTTTTTAAGAGTCCAAACCAGTTGTTTTATAAAAGATCTATCAATTTGGATTTCTCTGATTGTTTCCTCACCTACAGTGTTCTTGCCAAAAATGATCAATCATGATTAGAATCAGGTTAAATGCTTTGGCAAGAGCAATATATAGGTGAGTGTCCTTTATCATGCATCACATCAGGGGGCACATAACATCACTTTGTCCCATCATCAATGATAAGATTAAAGACCTAGAAGCAATATTTCCCAGTTGTCTTCCTTGTAATTAAAAAGTAAACGGTGGGTCAGAATTGTGTAAATGCTGCTCCTCAGTAGTTTTTCATCTAACGGTTTCAGCATCCACTGATGATTCTTGCTTGAATTATTATGTGGTTGTAAAATCAAAACTTTTTAAAATTGCTAAAAACAATGAAAAAACAGGCAAGCATATAGGAAAAAATAATGCTGAAGTTATGAAATTTTTTAAGTTAAAACAAAAAAACAATAAAAGTTTCATCAGCTATTCTCTACAACGGTAATAAAGTGTCAGAGAACTAGTTGTCATCATTAGCAAAGAAAGATGCTGCCAGAATGGAGATCAAAGCAATGCTTCCTTTACTGAGAATGTCCTACACCAAAAAAAGCTGAACTAAACAGGGGCTTAATGACATAACTGATTTGCATTAAGTTCAAGCTTTGCATCTCTCTCTTTACAGCTGGGTAACAGCTGTCGCCAGAGAGGCAACTTGTCAGGGACCACATTTTGAGGAGTACTGCTCTAAAATGTAAAGTTAGAATCCTTTTCTAGCACCCTTCTCTCTACAACCATATTTTTTTTTTAAACCCCATCCTTTATACTGTTAATCCCAAGACTGACACTCCAAAGTCCTTCCTTCTGTAACTAAGGGTCCCTGTTGTACACGATTGCTCTTTTTTCACTTAGGTAAGAGTAAATAAGGCCTCATATGATAAGAAGGTACCTCTGAATTATAAGTAAAAAAACTGGGGAGGGTATAATTTTTTCTTACGGATTCAGGAAAGAAATGGACTCAGTATCTTCCCCCCCACTTTCTCCCCAACAGATTATTATAAGCACGTCTTCACTGTGGTGTGGGTAGGGTAAGGAACAGAAGAGCAATAGAAATGAGAAGATAAAATTGGGGCAGGGGTGAGGGGTAAAAATGAGGATTTATCCTGTTCTCTGTTCCCATCCTCCTGTCCTTCTTCCAAAGATTCTTCCAGGGGACAGAAGTGGTGATCCATTAGGGGCTGTATGACAGGATAGGAAAATCTCAAGGAATAGCTCTTATGGTCACTGTCTAAGAAGCTATTCATATGTAAGAAGTGTATGTCTGTTGTGGACTAAGTATATACCAACATCATGGTATGAGAATCCTTTAGGATACTTAGCTAAAAGCGGATTCTTTTAATCTCTCTCCCAATTGCCTGTTGTTAGTACAGTCTATAGCAGAGAGATTAACATAAAAATAATTCTTTAATCCGCTCACTACTTTCTAATTCTTAAACACCCAAACCATTTCCAACAACCTCATTAGATTCCAAGAATTTCTTACCATTTTTGCTTTCCTTCAAAATCAAAGAAGCTTGGTTTAGGAGTATTACAATTTCCAACTTTGACCTAATTGAAGGGAGGGGGAAAAAAATCAAGAACTTATTTTTCAAAGAAATACCAGAGAAACTTTTTATTTTCAAATTTATTATGTATACTTAGTAACTATAGATTAGAAAATATCTATATAAAATAACAAAACTTAACATTCTTCACAAAAGCAAACAAAAAACAAACTTTAAATAAAGGCTGCTTTGGCTTACCACATAAAACAACTGTTGTCTAACACTGTGATACACAAAAAAACATGGGTAACAAACACTGGCATTCCTAAACTAGTAGACAAATTATATATGTAAGGCAAATTATAAATACAGATTATGTAATCCTTATTACCATTTATTCTATTGAAGAATTTTTAAACATGCAAAAAACAAGATTTATAGTACAATTTATCAGAATTCATAACATTGTTTATGCTGATTCTCATTACATTATTAGCATTTTCTCTCTCCCAAATTCCAGGATAAAGCACACTATTTGTAAAGTATCCCATTATGAAACTAATCAGTACAAATATAGATGCTGAAAGCCGTGCAAAAAATTTTCAAGGGTTTTTCAACAACAATATAAATTCTATCTACTCCACAATAATCTTTTCTTGTTTATGGTCAATACTTATTTGTAAAACCTCAAATAACATTTGTAGTAAAACTATACAATAATTATTTTCATTGTGAATAAACAAATGAAATTCACACAAGTGTAGAATTCATTATACAGCCCCTGATTCCCACTGGCAGAAGTAATCTCTCTTTCTGATGAACTCTCACAGCATTTACTCTGTATACCTCTGAAAGCACTTTTCACTTTTACCTGGTATTAGAAAATTTTGTGTAAAGTCTCATCTTTCTGTCAGAACACAGCTGCTAGGAAACCATTCCTAACACATTCATTGCACCTTATATAATGCCTAACCTAAGGTTGTTAAAAATGCTTGATGAATGTGGAATGAATATGTCAGGCACATGTTCAACCAAATATCTATTTTTCCTAATGCTAAATACCACAACCCGACCCCATCTACTTCTCAGAGACCTACTCACTATCTACTATTACTCTTATACACTTGAATTTTGCTAAAATCAAACTGATGGTCTACTCGCTAACCAGGCAGATCTACTCACTGCTTTAGGGATTTTTATTGTTTTGCTCATGTTATTGCCCTCACATGAAATGCCTTCTCTTCCTTCAGCCTTTCAAAATGCTACACCTTTTAGTCCCACTCAAAAGTTCAGATGTAAGAACCCTTTCAGTCTACAATGATTTCATCCATCTCTGAATTCATAATAATCATCTCTATCATTTGTTTAGCAAACAATCACATGGCCCTCAGATGAATATTAAAATGTACCTTTACCCAGGAGTAGATCTATTATAATGGGACCAAAAGGGGAAACAGTGAGAGAACAGGAACTGCATTTCTTGATCACCATAAAACAAAAGTTTCACACGTTACGTCAACTGGGCCATACAACTCATTTGCCTGTTAGGTTTGCCATTACAAACTCATTTTATAAATGAGTACAGAAAAACTGAGGAGGGGTGCTGGAGTTCACACGTTACATTAGCAAATCCTGAATTAGTAGTCAGGATTTGAATTTAGGACTGTTTGACTCCGAAGTCCAATATTCCTTTTCTATACCACTTTGCTTTACATACCACATAGAATCTAGGCTTCAGTTCTGGCATCTCTAAAATCACCCAAGCAGATGGATTATTAGAAGCATAAGAGAAACTATGACACATCATAAAAACAGCTGCAGTTACTACCTTTGGTTTTTATCCAGACACCAGCCAGTGGCAGAAACAAATACAGTATCTATTCTCAATTTCTCCTACACGAAATCTTGGCCAGACACATGGTCATCCAGCTAAACGTTACATGTGGTCACGCAACTTGAGCTAAGGTTCAAGGGACGAGATGTGTGTGAAAGTGATATAAATATCTTCCTTAATGGGGTGGCTGGGTGGCTCAGTTGGCTAAGCGACTGACTTTGGCTCAGGTCATGATCTCATGGTTTGTGAGTTCGAGCCCTACATTGGGCTCTCTGCTGTCAGCGCAGAGCCCACTTGGGATCCTCTTTGCCCTCTCTCTCTCAAAAATAAACAAACATAAAAAAAAAGGAAAGAAAGGGGGGCTTGTCCTTCCCTTTCCCTGAGCCCTCCCTCACTAGAACATGCATGTGGTGATGGTGAGCCATCTCTGGCCAGGAAAAGAGGATCTAAGGGGAACAGTTATAAAACTTTTTGGTCTCATGATGCCTTTATTCTCTTAGAAAATGAGGACCCCAAGAAGCTTTATGTGAGTTGTCTCTATCAATATTTACCATATTAAAAATTAGAAGACTTCTTAAAATATGCATTAACTCATTTAAAAATAAACTCATTAAATTAATAACAAAATTTTATAAAAGTAACTATATGAAGCAAAAAAACTTCATTGAGAAAAGTGACATCATTTTACATTTTGCACCTCTTTAACGTCTGCCTTAATAGAAGGCAGTTGTATTCTCTTATCTATTTCTGTATTCAATCTACTGCAATATGTTGCTTTGTTTGAAGTATATGAAGAAAATGCAGCTTCACACAGATTTGTTGTTAGAAATGAGAGAAGAATTTAGCAGCATTTTCAGATAATTGTGGATATTCTTCTTTGATTCCACACCAAAACTCAACAAGTGGCAGTTTCTTTAAGGTTAGATGCAATGTGGACTCTGAGGTCCTATCAATGAACTTTTCATACTGTTACAATAAAATCCATTGGTCTGACTTGCACTTCGTTTTTTTTTTTTTATTTTTTTTAACGTTTATTTATTTTTGAGAGAGACAGAGCGTGAGCGAGGGAGGGGCAGAGAGAGAGGGAGACACAGAATCTGAAGCAGGCTCCAAGCTCTGAGCTGTCAGCACAGAGCCCGACGTGGGGCTCAAACCCACAAACCACAAGATCATGACCTGAGCCAGAGTCGGAAATCCAACCGAGCCACACATGCACCCTAACTTGCACTTTGAATGGATCTTTTACTCACACACAATTTGTAACATTTCATGCAATATTTGGAAAATATGGTTCACTGAGTTGTGCATTCCTCCCAAATGTTGACACAGTCCATTACACAAAAGCAAAAGTTTACAATCATTAAAATCACCATTAATCTCATCAAAAAGTTTTTAAGTATTAGGAAGCTGTTTGGTTCATACGGCAGATACAGATTTTCCAAACTACTAATTTTCACTTGAAGGTTCAAATGTTACCATTGGCAACAAATACTAACAACTTTTTTCCTTAAAGTGACTGGCTCACTTTATTCACTTTGAAGAAACTATCTCCCAAATACTCAAATTTGAACAAGCATAGTTTATCTGTGACTTGTTCTATTAAGGAAAAATGGTATTTCATGAAAAAACTGGATAGCTCAGCTTGCAACTCAAAAATTACACAAGTGTTTTTCCTCAAAAATAGCCAATATAATTTAGTGTGCAGAAGTGCCTTGGGTGTACCCTGCATTTCATCACACACAATACTAAAGACTCCTACTCAAGAATTAATATTAATAAAAATCAATGATTTTTCCTGCTTTATCAGAGACATTTTTAAGTGAAATTGGATTTTTTTTTTTACTCTGAGTACATAGTGGTAAAAATACCAGACTACTAGTATAGTTTGCTGCCACTGCCTTGATTCGTACTGATGCATCACCAGTTTCATCACATAGAAAAAAAGCAAACAGTGTATTAGTATTATTACAAAAATAGTTTTGACCTTACAGATCTCCTGAGAAAGTCTCAGGGATTCTCAGGGATCTCTAGACCATAATTTGAGAACTGCTGCCTTGAGGGATGACAGAACTACCGGACAGAAAAAGACCAAGCCCCTGGATGATCTCATGAAGCAGAGCCACCCTACCAGCTCTAGATCACCTACCTCCACACCATTATGTGCAATGAAAATAAAAGTTCAGCAGCTGACCCTGTATTCTGACACAGAAGCTTTTGTATTCCCAAATTCAAAGAACAGTTCTGGATCAGAAAAGACTGAAAAAACAAAACTACAGGATTTTAGGACTTGATGAGCAACAGTTTCCAAATGATTAAATAATGAATCATGAGCTATAAAGCAGAGTTATAAAAGGTACCATTTTAAAAGAACATCTAAACTCTGTTCTCTCTGATACATATAATACATCCAGTGCCTTGAAAGAGAATATTTTAACAAAGGGTGCTAATAGCAAATGCCAGTGAATCATGTGACCAGGTCAAAGTAAGAGAACATGCTGAGTATCCTCACTGTGCTCATGCTGAAGGCTCCTATAAAATAAAGCCAAAAGGAGTTTGAAATTTTCATTGTCCTAGAGTTTTCACAGGTGTCAATTAGTTATCTTTTGCTGCTAATGCAGAGAATCAAAAAACTGTTAATTTGTGTGATCTTTTTGAAACTTCACTAAAAGATAATTTTGGAGCTACAGGCTTCTCTGAAACTAAAAGAGCTACTATGTTAGGTAAGTTTAGGGCTCTGCCCAAGAAAAGAAGATTCACAGCTCAGCTTATTTTTATCATCTTCCTGGGGACAACTTTACCTCATTCAGCCTACAAAATACAGTGCTATTCCAAAACAAAACATAATTGTTTCATGAGAAATTCTGATTCATGATGCAGAAATTATATTGGAATTTCAACTTTATTACTCTATCAAAGATGCTATTTTTAACACTATCTCAGGATTCTGTTAAAAGTAAAATATTTATAAGAGATTGATAAAAATTGTGTCCCAATGTCATATCTAAGTAAACATAACCTTATTCTCTAATAATGAAAAATTTTATTTCCAGATACAAAGTATTTCTAAACACCTTAACATCAAACTCTTATAAGGGTGAGGGGCACACCTCTTTCAGTATATCTGGATGGAGTATACTTGAGACAGAATCGTTACCAGCTGACAGGTGACTGCAGTTCACTGGTAACTTAGAAATCAGATATTTAATAATTATGACTCTAATATCAGTAGA